CCCCCCCCCCCCCCCCCCCCCCCCCCCCCCCCCCCCCCCCCGACTCTGGCTGCGCGCTCTTGCCCTCCATGTCCCCATCGGGACCAGTTGAGCACCCTTTGTGATAGCAATCTTGTTTCACCCTCTGTTGAAATGTGGAAACTGAGCTCTCTTGCTGTAGGATGTTGGAATGGTTTCTGAGTTCCACCCAGTCTAAACAATTCTCACTTTGTCCTTACTCCAGCTCCTCAGTTTGCCTTGGTATTTCCACACCTTGTTTCGCTAGCAATGGGAATGAACAGATGATGTAAAATTGAACTGAGGTCGAAACAAAACATTGCCTGTACTCCCCTTCAATGCTGTCTCTGCATTGCCACTGTTTCACACTTCCTGGTGTCTTGTCAGTTGTCCGTTTTTTTTTGTTTTTGTTTTTTTTTTTCCGGGGGACGCTGGTTGTGAGCCAGTTTGGATGCTGACTCACGCTCAGTGACTGCACATCTACTGTTTTGACAACCTACGCAGATGAGTGGAGCATAAGCAGTACCTCATGCTGGTCCCTCTCCTGCCGTGCTGCTGGAATCGGGTTTTGTTTCAACACTTTCCTGTTGGCCTGTCTGTGATAATGTCACCCAACATGGATGCCAGCACTGGACAAACAACCTGTATTACTGTCCCTTCACCATAAAGGTCTGGGGTAGTCTATCACCCTCACACTGTGCCCTGCCCCACTCCCTGAGGCAATCTGTGTCCATATGCTGCCTGAGCTGGACAATATCTAGCTTGTGTTGAGAAGGTGAAAGTTGCATAGACTCCACATGGAGCCAGGCAATGAGCATCTCTGAGAGGAAGTCTTCTCTTCAACTTTCACATTCACTGGTGTTGCCATCTCTAAATTCCCCACGATCAACCTCCTGTGGGTTACCATTGACCAGAAACTGGACTGGACCCTCCCTATAAACACTGGCTACAAGAGCAGGTTAGAGGCTTTGAAAAGCACAGTGAATAAATCCCCTCCTGACACTCCGGAGCCTGACCACTGTCTACATGTGACAAGTCAGGAGTGTGATGGAATATTCCCCACACTGGCCTGAATTGGTGTAGCCCTGACATCGTTCATGTATTTATTTAATTCTCTTTTTTTTTGTTTCTGCTGTTCCTTTTCAGGAACATGCCTGGGATTGCAGCAGCTCACTCTGCATAAGGAGAACTCGTTTTCCTTGCATCTCAATATCTGGCCTCCTCCTGGTGTCAATTATCCCAGTGTCCTTCATTTACTCATCCAGCTGGCCCTGGACACAGTAAATAAAGAGACACAAACGGAACTCTTCAGATATTGAACACCTCTCTTTCCCTTCTCTGCTCACAGGTGACCAGTGGGAGCAAAGCAGATTTAGTGGATCTCCGCCTTGGAGACCAGATCACCAGCATCAATGGGGCTGAAACCTCTGACATGCTCAACATGGAGGCTCAGAACAGGATCCGAATGTGTGAAGGGGACCTCATCCTCAACGTTGAGAGGTGTGTGGCTGGGAGAGCTGCTGGGAGGTTGGGGACACGGCCTTTGTGTTGGCAGGGGGGGGTTGTCCCCAAGTACAGAGAATTATTGCCTGCCACTGGATGAGGTAAGTCCTCAGCTTTGTCTGTCAATCCTGTGCTGGCTGTGCCTGTAAGGCCCAGGGTCCACTTGGAGGAGAGGAGGGTGCGGGATACTCTGGTGACCCACCTTTCCCTCAGTTTGACACTGTGCGCGGCCATGTAGTGTGTTCCAGTGCCTCTGGTACCACGCCTCCCTGCTAATGCAGGGACTGAGGGAGAGGACAGGTTTGCTCAGGCTGCAGGCTGGACGGTAACCAGTTGGGGTTCAGTGTAACTTGGGTAAGCAGTGTCTATAAGAACAGCAAATGGAGCAGGAATAGGGTGATGTTTCAGGGTGTCTGAGCGCAGTTGGTATCCATCAGTGTGTTTGTGTGTCTGGTACACTCCCCTGCATTGCCCACCCCTTTGTAAATTCCCACTGACCTTTGTGCCTGCCACTTCTAAAAACCAGTCTGCTCCCCTTGTCGCAGGCCCTTCCTTTCAGGGTACAGGGGTGGAGGGGAATGGGTTGGAGGGGGAGAGGGTTCAAACTGATGATGGAGGAGGCTATTGTGGAAGATCCAATTCAAGAGCGACCTATACAGTAAATGGAAAAGCCCTGGGGAAAATTGCTGCACAGAGGGATCTGGGTGTTCAGGTCCATTGTACCCTGAAGGTGGCAACGCAGGTCGATAGAGTGGTCAAGAAGGCATACGGCATGCTTTCATTCATCGGACGGGGTATTGAGTACAAGAGTTGGCAGGTCATGTTGCAGTTGTATAGGACTTTGGTTCGACCACATTTGGAATACTGCGTACAGTTCTGGTCGCCATATTACCAAAAGGATGTGGATGCTTTGGAGAGGGTGCAGAGGAGGGTCACCAGGATGTTGCCTGGTATGGAGGGTGCTATCTATGAAGAGAGGTTGAGTAGATTAGGATTATTTACATTAGAAAGACGGAGGTTGAGGGGGGACCTGATTGAGGTCTACAAAATCATGAGAGGTGTAGACAGGGTGGATAGTAAGAAGCTTTTTCCCCAGAGTGGGGGACTCAATTACTAGGGGGTCACGATTTCAAGGTGAGAGGGGAAAAGTTTAAGGGAGATATGCGTGGAAAGCTCTTTACGCAGAGGGTGGTGGGTGCCTGGAACGCGTTGCCAGCTGAGGTGGTAGAGGCGGGCACGATAGTGTCATTTAAGATGTATCTGGACAGATACATGAATGGGCAGGGAGCAGAGGGATACAGATCCTTGGAAAATAGGCGACAGGTTTAGAAAGAGGATCTGGATCGGCGCAGGCTTGGAGGGCCGAAGGGCCTGTTCCTGTGCTGTAATTTTATTTGTTCTTTGTTCTTTTTTATTGAGGCAGCAGACCATAGGAAATGGATTGAGAGGAAAAGGGTGATGGGCTCCGGGGCATTGGGCTAAGGGGTTAACGTATTCTGAGGTGGTCTCTGAATATCCCTCAGTTGTTCACCCTCAAAAAGGAGCTGTTTGGTGGTAAATGCTGTCTGACTCTGTGGCCTGACACTGGTTAATATGAGAGGGACTGTCCCAGTGATTTTCCCCCGAACAGGATAATGACGAATGTGTCCGTTAACCGTGCGCACATCAACATTTGTGACTCAGTAGCTGTGGTACCACCCCTGAGTCTCGGTGCTTTCATTCCTGCACTGGATCCAAGAGTCTGAGTGTATCACCCCCATCACCCTTGTGCTGCCTCTTCCTGGGTCACTATTTAGGAACCCGGTTTGTCAGGTGGACCTCAGGCCAGCCTGAGCCCACCCTGTCACCGAGGGACAGAAGTTCATATTCTGGCTGAGGATTGGGAGTGCTCTTCCCTGGGCCTTGGCCTCAGTCTCTCTCTCCCACCGGCAGATTTACCTCTTGCTGATATTCTCAAGCTGCAGCTTTCTGGATTTGAGCATCTTTCCCTGGGTTTTTAAATCCAGTAACCACCATGATTAGTATCAATGTTGCTTCATCCATTTGTTCAGGTGTGTTATTGCAGACCTTAGGAGTGGGTGGGACTTGAACCCAGGCCTCCTGGTTCAGAGCAAGGGTCAGTACCACAATGCCACAACACCTTGCTACGACACAGATAGACTTTAATGAGACTGGGGTCTTTGCGGATTTGAAACCAATGCCTTGTAGAGAAGTTTGAGCATGCGACAGTTTAGCTACAATGGCCTGGTGTTCCTAATGACTGGAAGTAATTTGATTTTCAATGTTGTGATGTCTCAATGTGTTTTTTTTTTTTTTTTGTTGTTGTTGTTGTTGTCCAAGGCCAGAGGCAGGTTCCCCTGGACTCTCTGATGGATCTCCCACTGACACCTTCCTTGCGCAGAGATTCCAGGTGAGAGTTTGTTGCAGGCCCTGCTGTGTCTCAGGAAGATACAAAGGTGGTTCCAATCTGATTCAGGCCCAGCCTTGCTCCACAGCACTGGCCAAATCACTTCCATTGCTCTGAGGACTACGCTGGCTCACTGTCTACGTTCGCTGTGCCTCCAGGTTCCTCTCGATTCACGTGCGCCGGTTTGGGCAGTACAAGCTTGAGATAGAGTCATAGAGACATACAGCACAGAAATAGACCCTTTGGACCGTGCCGACGAGATATTCTAAATTAATCTAGCCCCTGTTTGCCAGCATTTGGCTCCTATCCCTCTAAACCCTTCCTATTCACATACCCATCCAGATGCCTTTTAAATGTTGTGATTGTACCAGCCTCCACCACTTCCTCTAGCAGCTCATTCCATACACGCACTACTCTCCGCGTGAAAAAGTTGCCCCTTAGGTCCCTTTTAAATCTTTCCCCTCCTAACTTAAACCTATGTCCTCTATTTTTGGATGTCCCCACCCCAGGGAAAAGACCCTATTCACCCTATCCATGCCCCTCATGATTTTATAAACCTCAATAAGATTACCTCCCAGCCTCCAATGCTCCAAGGAAAATAGCCCCAGCCTATTCAGTAATGTCTGTCTCTTTACATCTCTCTCTCTGTCTGCCTGTCTCGCTCTTCCCTCCGCTCTCGCTCTTCCCTCCGCTCTCGCTCTTC